TGCTGTAAAGAGCAATATTGCATAGGAACCTGGAATGTTCGGTCCATGAATCAAGGCAAATTGGAAGTAGTCAAACAGGAGATGGCAAGAGTGAACATCAACATTTTAGGAATCAGTGAACTAAAATGGAATGGAATGGGTGAATTTAACTCAGATGACCATTATATCTACTACTGTGGGCAAGAAGAAATGGAGTACACCTCATAGTCAATAAGAGTCCAAATGCAGTACTTAGATGCAGTCTCAAAAATAACAGAATGATCTCTGTTCGTTTCCAAGGCAAACCATTCAGTATCACAGTAATCCAAGTCTGTGCCCCGACCAGTAATGCTGAAGAAGTTGAAGTTGAATGGTTCTATGAAGACCTACAAGACCTTCTAGAACTAACACCCAAAAAAGATGTCCTCTTCATTATAGGAACTGGAATGCAAAAGTAAGAAGTCAAGAAATACCTGGAGTAACAGGCAGATTTGGCCTTGGGGTACAAAATGAAGCAGGTCAAAGGCTAACAGTTTTGCCAAGAGAACGCACTGGTCATAGCAAACACCCTCTTCCAACAACACAAGAGAAGACTTTTACCAGATGGTCAATACCAAAATCAGATTGATTATATTCTTTGCAGCCAACGATGGAGAAGCTCTATACAGTCAGCAAAAACAAGACCAGGAAACTGACTGTGGCTGAGATGATGAATTCCTCCTTATTGCCAAATTCAGACTTAAATTGAAGAAAGTAGGGAAAACCACTAGACCATTCAGGTATGACCTTAATCAAATCCCTTCTGATTATCCAGTGGAAGTGACAAATAGATTCAAGGGATTAGATCAGATAGAATGTGTGAACAACTATGGGCAGAGGTTTGTGACATTGTACAGAAGGCAGTGATCAAGACCGTCCCCAAGAAAAATGTGAAAAGGCAAAATGGTCATTTGATGAGGCCTTACAAATAGCTAAGAAAAGAGATAAGTGAAAGGCAAAGGAGAAAAGGAAAGATATACCTATTTGAATGCAGAGTTCCAAAGAATAGCAAGGAGAAATAAGAAAGCCTTCCTCAGTGATCAGTGCAAAGAAATAGAGGAAAACAATATAATGGGAAAGACTAGACATCTCTTCAAGAAAATCAGAGATACCAATGGAACATCTCATGCAAAGATGAGCACAATAAAGGACAGAAATGGTACGGACCTATCAGAAGCAGAAGATATTAAAAAGAGGAGGCAAGAATACAGAGAAGAACTATACAAAAAAGATCTTTAGGACCCAGATAACCATGATGGTGTGATCACTCACCTAGAGCCAGACATTCTGGAATGCGAAGTCAAGTGGGCCTTAGGAAGCATCACTATGAACAAAGCTAGTGGAGGTGATGGAATTCCAGTTGAGCTATTTCAAATCCTAAAAGATGCTGCTGTGAAAGTGCTGCACTCAATATGCCAGCAAATGTGGAAAACTCAGCAGTGGCCACAAGAAAAGGTCAGTTTTCATTCTAATCCCAAAGGCAATGCCAAAGAATGTTCAAACTACCCCACAATTGCACTCATCTCACACGCTAGCAAAGTAATGCTCAAAATTCTCCAAGTCAGGCTTCAACACTACGTGAACCAAGAACTTACAGATGTGCAAACTGGATTTAGAAAAGGCAGAGAAACTAGAGATCAAATTGCCAACATCCATTGGATCATAGCAAAAGCAAGAGAGTTCCAGAAAAAAAAAATCTACTTCTGCTTTATTGACTACACCAAAGCCTTTGACTGTGTGGATCACAACGAACTGTGAAAAATTCTTCAAGAGATGGGAATACCAGACCATCTGACCTGCCTCCTGAGAAATCTGTATGCAGGTCAAGAAGCAACAGTTGGAACCAGACATGGAACTATTGGAGGTGATGGAATTCCAGTTGAGCTATTTCAAATCCTAAAAGATGCTGCTGTGAAAGTGCTGCACTCAATATGCCAGCAAATGTGGAAAACTCAGCAGTGGCCACAAGAAAAGGTCAGTTTTCATTCTAATCCCAAAGGCAATGCCAAAGAATGTTCAAACTACAACACAGTTGCACTCATCTCACATGCTAGCAAAGTAATGCTCAAAATTCCCCAAGCCAGTCTTCAATAGTATCTGAACTGTGAACTTCCAGATGTTCAAGCTGGATTTAGAAAAGGCAGAGGAATCAGATATCAAATTGCCAACATCTGCTGGATTTTTGAAAAAGCAAGACAGTTCCAGAAAAACATCTACTTTTGCTTCATTTATTTAACTTATATGCAGGGTAACATCGTGAGAAATTCTGGGCTGGATGAAGCACAAGCTGGATTCAAGATTGCCGGGAGAAATATCAATAACCTCGGATATGCAGATGACACGACCCTTATGGCAGAAAGTAAAGAACTAAAAAGCCTCTTTATGAAAGAGGAGAGTGAAAAAGTTGGTTTAATGCTCAATATTCAGAAAACTAAGATCATTGCATGTGGACCCATCATTTCATGGCAAACAGATGGGTAAACAGTGGAAACAATGGCAGACTTTATTTTGGGGGGCTCCAAAATTACTGCAGATGGTGACTGCAGCCATGAAATTAAAAGATGCTTACTCCTTGGCAGGAAAGTTATGACCAACCTAGACAGCATATTAAAAAGCAGACACATTACTTTGCCAACAAAGGTCCGTCCAGTCAAGGCTGTGGTTTTTCCAGTGGCCATGTATGGATGTGAGAGTTGGATGGTGAAGAAAGCTGAGTGCCGAAGAACTGTGGTTTTGAAGACTCTTGAGATTCCCTTGAACTACAAGGAGATCCAACCAGTCCATCCTAAAAGAGATCAGTCCTGAGTATTCACTGGAAGGACTGATGTTGAAGCTGAAACCCCAACACTTTGCCCACCTGATGCAAAGAGCTGACTCATCTGAAAAGACTCTGATGCTGGGAAAGATTGAAGGTAGAAGGGGACGACAGAGGATGAGATGGTTGGATGGCATTTCTGATTCAGTGGACTCAAGTTTGGGTAAATTCTGGGAGTTGGTGATGGACAGGGAGGCCTGGTGTGCTGCAGTCCATGGAGTTGCCAAGAGTTGGACATGACTGAGCAACTGAACTGAACTGAATTTGCTTTGTTGATTATGCCAAAGCCTTTGATTGTGTGAATTAGAACAAATTGTGGAAACTTCTTAAGAGATGGGAATACAGACCACCTTACCTGTCTTCTGAGAAATCTGTATGCAGGTCAAGAAGCAACAGTTAAAACTAGACATGGAGTAACAGACTGGTTCTAAATTGAGAAAAGGAGTGTTAAGGCTATATTGTCACCCTGCTTATTTAACTTACATGCAGAGTACATCATGCAAAATGCTGGGCTGGTGAACACAAACTGGAAGATTGCCAGGAGAAATACCAATAACCTCAGATATGCAGGTGACACCACCCTTATGGAAGAAAGTGAAGAAGAACTAAAGAGCCTTTTTATGAAAGGGGAGAGTGAAAAGTTGGCTTAAAGCTCAACATTCAGAAAACTAAGATCATGGCATCTGGTCCCATCATTCATGGCAAATAGATGGGGAAATAAGGGAAACAGTGACAGGCTCTATTTTGGAGGGCTCCAAAATCACTGCAGATGATGACTGCAGCCATGAAATTAAGATGCTTACTCCTTGGAAGAAAAGCTATGACCAACTCAGCATATTAAAAAGCAGGGACATTCCTTTACCAACAAAGATCTCAGCCTAGTCAAGGCTATGGTTTTTCCAGTGGTCATGTATGGATGTGAGAGTTGGACTATAAAGCAAGCTGAGGACCGAAGAATTGATGCTTTTGAACTGTGGTGTTGGAGAAGACTCTTGAGAGTCGCTTGGACTCAAGGAGATCCAACCAGTCCATCCTAAAGGACATCAGTCCTGAAGATTCATTGGAAGGACTGATGCTGAAGCTGAAACTCCAAGACTTTGGCCACCTGATGCAAAGACCTGACTCACTGGAAAAGACCCTGATGCTGGGAAAGGTTGAAGGCAGAAGGGGACAGAGGATGAAACGTTGGATGGCATCACTGATGCAATGGACAGGAGTTTGAGTGGGCTCCGGAAGTTGGTGATGGACAGGGAAACCTGGTGTGCTGTAGTCCATGGCATGCTGTAGAGTTGAACACGACTGAGCAACTGAAATGATTGTTGTCAAGTCTGCATGGCATCCAGTGTCCTTTGGTTTGGGAATCCAATAGGCTTTTTTGGCCTGGGTTGGGGTTAATTTTGGGGTGTGCTAGTTCTTCGTTGCTGCTGGAGGGTTTTCTCTAGTTGTGGAGAGCAGCGGCTACTCTCTAGCTCCAGCTCACAGGCTTAGTTGCTCAGCCGCATGTGGAATCTTCCTGGACCAGGGATCAAACCCATGTCCTCTGCATTGGCAGGTGGATTCTTATTCACTCTACCACCAGGGAAGTCCCTCAAGTCTTTCTGAGCTCTAACTGTTCTTGGGTTTGACCTTCTTTCTAAAATCTTTAAGCCCATGGTTGTTCAGGTCAGCTAGATAACATTCTTTTACAGGTTAGTCTCTTTCCTGGGCTAAGCTGGAGACTCCTCCACCACCTCCCACCCTCTGCCCCTTTGTGTACCTTTCATTTCAGCATCCCATGCCCTGGCACACTGCCTTATCTCAAAGAAATAAGCCCATTTCTGGTATACTGCCACTCCACCACTAAGATCTAAATGTTTCTGTAAACCTTGCCTTACCTGTCCACACTAATGACTGCTATCTTATAGCTGGTCCTATTATCAGCAGTAAAACACCTTTACCTCATGACCAGGTACACTTACATGATGATATGATTACCAGCAACAGGCAATCATGTCAAGGAAACACTTCAGTTCTCTCATCAGAAGCCTTCATTCAGATCACTGGAAGTAGAGCACACCTGAGGAAGGTGCCAGCACTCAGAGAGAAAGGGAGAGAGGACACACTTGTGTAAGCCCCAAGCCCACTGTGAGACTGGGGTATACAGAAAGAGGGCAAACACACACATACATACCTTAGTTACAATATTTATTTACAGCCTTCATTTTCCCAGCTGTGCAGCCTAAAGTCCTGTAATTGTTCAGTTCTCAGATGCACCATGTTCCACATACAAACATCCCTGAACTTGGGATACTACTGACCCAGTATCAATGTGATGAAACTGCACAAACACTTCCTTTAGACCCTTTCTCTGAATTGGAGGAAGTGCCACTGCCACAGCATCAGCCAACAAAGGGTACAGTCCACAAGGCAGGGCAAATGGGCTGCAGGTGTGCGGAGCTCAGATGAGCCGCATCCCTCACCATGTGTCCAAAGAAATGAGGACAGGGGTGCTTCTGTTCACGTGGTAACCCTCACACGGAGGCTTAGCCTAGGAATCTAACCTAAATAAGCCAGTATGTATCAACTGTATTTCAAGGTTCACCAAATCTGTACCCTGTTTTCTTCAGATACCAACATCTCAGGTATCCGGTGTAATCACAGCTGTGCTTGGTCACAGCTGCTCCTGATTCACCCACTTCTTATTTGCCTTCGCTGATATCGTTATCACTGTCACTGTCGCTGTCACTGGTCATTGTGGTTAGGTCTCCCAGGGCTTCCCTGTAAGAAACATAAACAGGAGGGTCACACTGAAATGCAGGCTTAGGGGCTGGGGGTCTCTACAGCTCCACTATAGCAACAGAGGACAAGATCCATTAAGTCAACATATAGGCCTCCCTGACTCATATGACAAAAAAGATCATTAAACCAACACATCCTGACTTTCTGCAAAGAAAAGGAATTCAGGGCTAGAAAGCTACAGACATGTAGAATGGGCAGACAGATGGACTGCTCCATCTTTAACTTTTCTTCATGGTGATGACACAGAGCCCAAGAGCCCACTTACTTCTGTTCTTGGCTGAGGCTGAAGTCAGCAATTAACCTCTGGGTGAGACCCTCACAAATAGGCAAGCTGAAGGAATTTGCCAGGTTAACGACCTCAATGGCCTGGGCAGGGCTGCTGGATGCTTTGGCACTATCCATAAACTCATTCAGCAACTCATTCCTGTAAAAGGCAAAATGTCAACATCTGCCAACTACACCCCTCACAGATTTACATACAGAATCTAGTATCTTACAAAGATCAGTAGCTTTGGAGAGAGTTACATGAAGTTTAAAGGGCTAATGAGATAATGAATACTGTTAATTCAACATGCCTTCATCCTCCACATCTTCAGCATCAAATTTACCATCTTCAACATGATTCAGCATGCCTTCATGTGGATCTATCCACAGTGTATTAACAACATGTTGTGATCACTGAGCACAGACTAAGAAAACTGCACTTGCCTCAGGATGCCTTAGATGGTGGGAGTGACTGTCCATTTGCTTGCCTAACAGAAAAGTGCCCAACTGCCACCACTGAGGTACATGAGAAAATTCCACACCGCCCCCCACCCCGTAAGAGTGAAACCCACATGGCTAATCTAGGATGTATGCAGGCAGGCCGGTTGACTTGAACTTACCTGGGGATCTTATTATGTTTCCTGAAAAGCCCCAGCATTTTCCTGTTCAAGATGAGACAGGAAAGAGATTAGGAATAGTAACAGAACAGATGGAAATCAAGTAACCAGAGCTATTTTCCCAGATGCAGACACTAAATGTCGTCGTCCTCCCACCTACAGTGGAAGCTCCTAAAGACGTATGTCTGTAGGCTCCCAGCTCCCAGCTCCATCTCTACATGAGAATCACTCCAGGTGCCTCAACCCTCTTCTCCAACTTCATGTGTGAACATTACACACTGCCCAGGCAAATATGTTTTGTTATGAGCGTTGAGAATTGCTGGGGTTCACCCTCCTCTAGAGGATCACTTCAGTACCCCCAAGGAGGGAATGTATCACGTGGGCAGTGGGAAAGGAGGCTGGCAAATAATGTACAATCTCTTCTGTCTTTTATGATCCAGCGTTTGAGTCCAGTGTGTCTTAAACTGATGTTATGAAGAGCAGGCTCAGATTAAGGCACAAGTCTCATGTAAGTGCTCACCAGCATCCTGCCACATGCAGGATGAAGGAGAAGCACATACACTCAGCTCCCATCATCAGCTGAGGTCCGTACCCCTGCGCCAATCATCACAGCCTGATTCACAACAAGAACGTGTGTCAACCTGCCCGAGTCAATGACTCCGAGCATCACAGGTCAGCACTGTGCAGCAGGCTGTGATTCACCACCAGTCAAGACCAGTTGAGGCAGCAAAGCCTCCACCAGCTTTTCCTAGAGAGAGTGAACACCCACACCTTGGACTGACAGTCCTATGTTCAAAATAAGGTCCTCTCTTGGGAACAACCATACACAACTACCCCCTCACTGGCCCTCAGAACTAACATTTACATCCAAAATAACACATAGTGGAACCACGCAACTATGACCACCCCAACCAAGTATGCCTTTGTTGACGTCTCTTTTGGAAAAATGAATATGCATAAGATCTCCACTCACAATTAAACACTAGAAGTGAGTATGAGAACAAAGTGCCAGCACGAACACACAGAATACAGTGGCACAAACCAAAGATGGGTTCTAGTCAAGGCTAGGTTTAGTCGATACTGGTAAATGCCACTTTTCCTCAAGTCCCAGTATACAGCCCACATTTTAAGCTGGGGCTGTGGGTGTGGGGAAACCATCCATAAATGAGATATCAATGCCCAAAACACTCTCAAAATTAAGATTCTCTGGTCACTGTGTTCTATTTAGGTGAAGAGAGATACAGAAAATGAAAATAAAGAGACTGAGCCCACTGAACCACATCCTCTCTTAAACACACAACACTGATTCTTCTTTCCCAAGTTTGCTTTTTAGTAAGTATTTGTGCGTTCCCATAGAAAACTGATTACAGGGCTTCCCTGGTGGCTCAGTGGTAAAGAATCTGCCTGCCAATGCAGGAGACATGGGTTTGATCCCTGGTCTGGGAGGATTCCACATGCCGTGCATCACAACTACTGAACTTGTGCTCTAGAGCCCAGGAGCCACAACTACTGAAGCCGGAGAGCCCACACTCCGCGACAAGAAGCCACTGCAGTAAGTCTGTGCACCACGAGGAGCCCCATTTTCTGCAACTGGAGAAAAGCGATGCAGCAACGAAGACCCAGCATAGCCAAAATTTAAAAAAACAAAACCAAAAAACACCTCATTATGTAGAAACTCAATTGTCTCCTGAGAAACCACACATCACACAGACATATTAGAGATGCTTCCAGTGACACGTGTGGTGCTTCGTGTACTCACCAGGCTTCCTGGGTTCTCCCAGCCCTTAAGAAGAGGATGGCTATGTAGTTCAGAGAACTGGCCGGCCACTCTGGAGCAGTCTGTCTGGCATCCTGGCTTTCGTAAGTCGATTTGATGTCTGCAGCACAGTCAGCAAATGCCGCCTGCAGCTGAGAGGCCCCGAGAGTCAGAACTGCCTCGCTAGTTTTGAGTCTCAGAACTGCCTCACTAGTTTTATGTCAATTTGAGAACAGGAGACTCCACAGGACCGTTATAATTTCTGACACTGCATTTTACCATTTGAACACATCGCATGTACAGCACATAGTGATACATATTAACAACAACAAAAAAAGGCAAAGCACCCGACCTTGATGTGATAATTTGTTTAGCCACGTATTTCAAATCCAACCATGGGTTTTCTCTTTAAAGATAAAAAAGGAAAGAAAAAGGAAGGAAAGGTATTCTAATTGGTTATGTTGAGATGTGTCTTTTTTATGCTTTCAGCCACACCACACACATCCAATATCTTAACTTGGGCCCCCTGTTATGGAAGTGCAGAGTCTTAACCACTGGACTGCCAGGGAAGTCAGATGCGTAGATTTAAATCTGGGTTTAGATAGCAGAATTCTCCACAGAAATGAAACCATGGGAATTGCCCTCCCCAGGTCCTCAGTATTAGAGGATACGCTGGCTAGTGTATATCTAACAATGAGAGCAAAACAAGCCTACCTCTGGTGGGTGCTGATCCCTTGCCATGAGCATCAGAATCTCTTCTTTTAGGTCACTGCGATAAGTATGCCCATATTCTTTACTATCTTGAAACAAAAAGGAACAGAGTGAGAAGTGATCACCATCATGTAAAACCAACATTCTTTGACCTTTGTCCACTGTCAGCAGTCATCCCTACTGGGGCGGAGGAAAGGAGAAGAAAATAAGAAAATTCATTGCTGACATGTATTCCAGGATTCTAGAAACCAGCATGATTCACGGTAGGAAAAGGACAAGAGAGTAGTGAAGGCCAGCGCCAGTAACTGGCTGCTGGGCAATTGCTAACAGCATGTAGGCCACACTCAAGCAGACCCCCGCTCCCCGTGGTTTTACAGCACATGGGAATCATCAGTGCTCCTCATACATTATCATCAGAGCAGTCCTGTAAGGCAGGACGGCAGGGCTATGGTCTCAGTGTCTCATGTCAACTTGAGGCAAACAGGAACACGTTTTACGATCACAGTCACCTAGAGGGTGAGCTACAGCATCTTCTGCAGTCAGTTTACATGCATAAACCACACACACAAACCCAGTCATGGCTGTTCCTCAGAAACCATACTATCACCAATATCACTGTTAGCTACTGAAACACACAGATGCATCACAGTCCAGAGGAATGAATGGCACAGGCTTTGCAGGTTGAGATTCTGGGTGACCCATGTAACTAACACAAGTGCACAAAACCCAGCCTTTTCTGGTCACAAAGGAACCAACTGAAGTCCTTTCCACCCCACTGTTACTCATGCAATCCAATATGAAACATAAGCAAGTCACCCTGAAGGTGACTTCAACTACAGTTTAATTTAGTGAAAAAATGGAAGCTTTCTTCCCTAACCACATTAACACACTTGTGAATCAAAACCTAAGACAACAGAGTAAGATGGGTCGGGACACACAAACTGAAACTGACCTTTCCAGATCTGAGGAATCATTTCTAGCCGATTGGCTACATCTAATGCTTGGAGAAGATCTATTAACGTTTGGGAATGGGGAAAGAAGACCTGGTTAAGAAAAATACAAATACATTTTTAAAGTATTACTCAGCAAAGACACCCACAAACATCTACAATGATAAATGTTAAGTCATGAATCATCTTACCGAAGGTATCAGGTCCTTATACCATTTCAAGGTGACATCAATTTGTTCCATTAGACAAAGCAAACTAAAGAACTTGGAACTGTGATGGAGAAAGAAAACACGTTTAGTCTGAAATCCCTACCTAGTAGGGGAATGATTACATTACAGCACAGTCATATAATGACATATTACATAGAATTTAAAGACAATTTATAAGTTACAATTTCAAGTGACACAGATCAATGTATGACTCAGGAGATGCTAACTGTGCTTTTTGGACTTTCCAGTTTGACACTTTCTTATCTTCAACTGGTCACTGGTATCTTCAACTGGTTTATACACTCTCAGCTCATGGTGGAGAGGAGTGAGGATACTACTCAACCAGTGTTCAGTGTGAAGAGAGGATTTGAACACATGGAAGAGAACCACCACACACCTTTCAACAGGCTGCCTCCTTACATTCTTGTTTTTATCTGCCTAAAAGCAAACCCATGTAAGGAGTCTCCTTGGGCTCTAACATCTTTAAAAACAAAAGAGGCTAAGATGAAAACTTCAGGGATTCACCCTGCTATGAATTCGAAAATATAAAATAGGAGGGTGTGGGTTCCTGAGTAGATCAGCTGGTAAAGATTCCGCCTGCAATGCAGGAAACCCCATTTCGACTCCTGGATTGGGAACATCCCCTTGAGAAGGGTTAGGCTACCTACTTCAGTATTCTTGGACTTCCCTGGTGGCTCAGAGGGTAAAGAATCCACCTGCAATGCGGAAGACCTGGTTCAATCCTGGGTTGGAAAACCAGATGCCCTGGAGGAGGGGATGGCAACCCATTCCAGTATTTGGCCTGGAGAACCCTCATGGAGAGGAGTCCTGCAGGCTACAGTCCACGGGGTCACAAAGAGTCTAACAGGACTGAGCAAATAAGCATAGAACAGCACAAGGAAAATATACATGGATTTAAAGTTACAAATAGCTTAAAAGATACACAGTGGATACCTCAGTCTGACAAATCAGTTTTATCACTGTTTGATCTACCAAGTGTTGACAAATCAGTTTTACCACTGAACCTTCCAAGTTTTCAACTAACTCATATTCTTAAGTCAGGATCATGCTATCTAAAATAAGGCTGCCAAGTCTCCCACCTGCAGAACTGACTACTGGCTGCATACAGGTGCTCCGTTAATGCAAAGGATACATTTCCAATGCACTTACTAATAAAAATTACGCCGAGGATCAGGACCAATGAATTTCCGGTTGTCTCCAGTGTTTAAAAGGCCATGGACCTGGTAAGCAAGCTCTAGATCTCTGAGAGAAGAGCACTGAAAATGTAAAAGTAGTAATAACCATCACTCAGTGATCCTTATCAGCCAAAGGTGGCTCATTACATAAAGCAAAAAGGTAGATACCTGGGGAAACACGTATACTGATTTAACATATTACTGATTGACAGCAAATGAGTTATAAGAAACTGGAGGTGGGGATCAAATCACCAAGTTCAGTTAAATTTAAAACAAAATAATGTTCATCTAGTAATTACACCTTTATTTAGTATTAGACAAAAACACTTGGGATGCCATGCACAAGACAGATGGAGTGCTATCTCTAGCATCACTATACTGGCAAAAGTCCCCATGAAATAACTCCAAAACCCACCCAACGAGAAGTCATTCCCTTCTATGAAATATTATACTGCCATCAATAAACAAGATACCATGGAAATGAGTGTGGACATGCATGTCTGAATACCCAGAGGAAAGAACATGGAAAGATACACACTAAGTTGTGAAGCAATTATCCTCAGGGAATAAAACTGCTAAATTCATTCTGAAACTGCTTGAAAATTTTTCCTATGATTAGCATGATAAGCTGAAAAAACAAAATTAGACATAACCATCAATCTAATAAGTTAGCAACAGGCAAATATGAAATATTCTGAAACCTTATCTGAAGAAAGATATGAAAAAAGAACAAACATAATCAACACAGGGTAGGAATGCTGTGATTTTGCAGAGATTTTAGAGGAATAAAAAATTAGGACTAATGACATGAAAACAAGTTAAGAGTTAGGAAGTGAAAGAATCAGGGAGAGTCCTCCCAACCACCAATGACGAATTTAGGAAATGGATAAAAGAGGGGGAAAAAAAGTTTTAAGCAAGAAATGGTACTTACAACCCTCATGGCTGACTGAAAAAACATATCTGAAAAATCAAAGTTCAGAAGAGCCTTGGTTACTATGCATAAAGTATGTTTTCAGGTCAGTAACATTAATTAAAAATCCTGTCAATGAAACTGGTAAGGTGTAGGACAAACCTAAAAAATGAAAACATAAGGAGAAGCAACATACAGCACAAGCCACTGACACGCTGCTTTCTCAGAATAATCACCCAAAGATGACTAAACTAAATCAAACGTCATCCTCATCATAAGGCTCTATAACCCAGCAGTCAGGGAAAGAGGCTGTCTGTCTTACGCCAGCAATTTCTGCACGTACCGTCATCGGGGTCCTGTGGAGAAAACTTCTTTCCCATTATTTCATCCATGATATCATAGATGATGAGGGATGATCCTTTTGAAGGGCTTTCTGCAGAAAAAAAAAAGGCAATGGGGTTTTCTGAGGAGCCCACTTCCTGCACAACCATGGGGTAGGCAAAACTAGTCCTAAGGCTGCCTTTCTCATTCCTCCACCCAAGCCATGGAGCTGGCCAGGCACAGCCCCATGAGATGAATGAGTGCACCCTCTGCTGAATGCAGTTCTCCCCAAGGCCTGGGTCAGTTACAGTGCTCCCAACAGACTCGGCCCCTCCTTCTTAGTCCTCACAAGGCGAACTTGAACTGAAATGGGAGACAGACTGACACCTTCACCAAGCCTGCATACTTAGAAAAGAAGTATGTTTTCTGCTAATAAACATTTGTGCTCCTTTTAAATATGACCAGGATGAGAGCCAAGAAACAGAAAACTATAGAATTAAAATCCATCGATGACATTTCCAATTAAATGTTTCACATTATTTATCCATATTCCCTTCCCCACCTATCCACTTGTAAGTGATAATATAGTTTCAGTGACAGCATAGATGTACTTGTGAAGTTCTTCAAGGATGTTTACATTTGTTACAGTTCTAATTATTCTACTATCCTAATAACCTATTTTATATGTATCATCTCTTCATTATTTTAGGCTTTTTCCTTTGGGTAAATTCCTAGCAATTATTATTACAGACAGTCAATTTATATCCTTAAGTCACACTGACATTCCTACCCCCGTGACCCTGGGTGTTACTTAGGAAGCACAAGCACTAGGGACTTTAGTTAGCCAGGGTGATGTGTGATGTTGCAATGGAACAGGCTTTAGGGTGAGAATTACTTAGTTTTAGTACAACACCACCGAAGTTTAGTAAAATTTTATATGACAAAATTACTGTGGAAACGGTTCACCTGTTTTCAAGATAAAGTCATTAACTGCTCCTACTGTGCTCACTTCGGCAGCACATACATTAACTGCTCCTACTTCCCTATGTGTGAGATTGTGAATTTTGCAAGACTACCCTTCCAAAATAAAGGTTTTCTATTGTTTTCACACAAAAAGCCCATTACAGGAGAGAAAGACTGGAACTGCCATTTCTAAACCCAGGGTTGTTTCTCAGGTTGGGGCAAATGACTAAGAACCTACAGACTGTGAGTGCTTACTACATGCCTTCCACGCATGAACAGGGCACTATACATAATTCATTACATTGTGATGTCATCACTCAGGTAAGATATCCAGTCCCTTCCCACACATTTGGTAAATGGTAGAGATAAAATTTCAACTCAGGTGTGCCTTGCTCCAAAACCCATTCAACAGAGCATAGCTGACCTAAAATTAGGTAACAAACGGAGCCTTGAAGTTCTCCCATGAGGCTTCAAAATAATGTTAAGGCTTACTGTGGAGCAGCACTATCCAACAGCTTCCTGCAAAGACGGAAGTGTTCTATAATTGCATCACTGACAGTGCAGTCAGAAGTCCCAAGTGGCTACTGAGCACTAATGCTAGGAAGGAATTTAATTAAATTAGCCATGTGTGGCTAAGTGGCTACTGTATTAGACAGCAGTTCTGCAGGGCAAAAGGAATCCCAAACTCAAGTACCTTCTGGCCAAAAACCATACACTGCCCCTGTTAGTACACTTAATGATCTTCCTCCACTCCGACTTAAGTTTTACATCACAAAAAGATGACACTACCCTCAACAGTCACTTTTTGCTCAGGCGGTAGACAATTCTATTATCCAATCTTAATTCATTGGCAGTGAAGTTAGCCTAATCTCTAAATAAGTAACATAATGACATACATACCATGTTGATAAAACAGCTGAATAATATAATGGTATGTTGCAAGCGAGGGTTCTTATGTTACCAGGTACATAGAAAAAAGAAAAAAAAAAGTCAAACACAGCTATACGAAATATAGCTTACTGAGGTATAGTGAATAAAAACATTAATGGTGTTACTTAAGTAGAAGATGCATTCTGTTCTTCTGAACAAAGACATTTCCCAGCTGATATGATTACTCTAAAGGTAGAAAGGTGTCAAAGAGATAAAATTCCTCTTAGAAAGTCCAGACACCTATTACTAAAACATTACAGTCAATATTCTGTGAGTTTCATTTAAGAACACTAAAGGCTACTGAAGTGAACTGATTCAATAACATAAATACTGAAAAACACACAATATACTAGCACACAATTGGGTTCAAATACTTAATTATACCAGAAAATGCCACAAGATTTTAAAACCAGCCAACTGTAAGTGAACAATTCTCCCCAGAATCAAGAAATCCATTAAAAAGTATCTAAAATCCTGAGTGTAATTTGCTATAAACAGCAAAAAGGATGATAGAGCTCCCATTATACTAAATATACATAATTAAAAAGTGTGCTTAATGGTGGAAAGGAAATTCCTACCATATTATGTAAACAGCACAGGAAAGTTTAGTCTCTCTTTTGATTGCCTGGACCTCAGGTCAGCACTGCCTTCAGAGAGGGACATGAGGATACACTCTCACCTATCCCGACGGCTTTCATTTCCCGGAAGGTCTGTAAGGCTGGCAATTTTCCAAATGCATAAAATCTTCGGAGGCATTTGAGAATAGTGTTAAAAGTCTGTAGATTGGGCTTCACGTTCTGTGCAACCATTTGTTTCAGTAGGTCCTAGTTGAATCAAAAGCAAGAGTATTATTTTTTTTTTAATGCCTGGTGAGTAATTTGTCCAATAAACTAACAGAACACACTAAAAGAATTGGGCTCTCTGCATACATTTAAAGCAGATTAATAAATAAGCCCCCCACTTAAGAATTATCTAGTGTCCCTGAGAGAACAAGGCCTTTTCAACAGTCACTCTAATCCCCACGTGATGTCAGTGTCCAACTGTCTTTAGCGGCCTAGTGAGTCTAAGATTGAAACAAAAGAAGAGACTAGAACAGACTGGTTTTTTCCTTTTTACACAAGCAGTATGGTACGGTGTGCACTTCCCTGGTGGCTCAGTGGTAAAGAACCCAGCTGCCAATGTAGGACATGTGGGTTTGATCCCTGGGTCGGGAAGATTCCCTGGAGAAAGAAATGGCAGTCCACTCTAGTATTCTGGCCTGGAGAATCCCATGGACAGAGGAGAATGGTGGGCTACAGTACATGAGGCTGCAACGAGTTGGACACAACTGAGTGACTGGACAACAATGAACGGTACAGTGTGGTTTCTATTTCTGTTACTTTGTTACTGTGATTTCAATTTTTAAAAACTTTTCTAGTAGTTTTCTTCAATGCATGTCTTATTTTAATTAAAAAAAAAACACGATTATAAGGAAATAAATGAATATAATATAGCAAACTGGTCTTCCTGTATTCTAGCTGTATGCTTGGGTCACAGCTACTTAAACTAAGGGTTGCTAGAAGGGCGTGAACAGGTCACCACAAGTGGAGTGCCCAGTAGTGACCACCACAAAGATGCTCAGTGAATGCTCTCTCCATCCCAGGTACTCCTAGCAAAGGATGGTGGGTGGTGGTGGTGTAGCAGGTAAGTCATGTACAACTCTTGTAACCCCATGGACTGTAGCCCACCAGACTCTCCTGTTCATAGCATTTCCCAGGCAAGAATACTAGAGTGGGTTGCCATTTCCTTCTCCAGGAGATCTTCCCGACCCAGGGATCAAACTCGCATCTCCTGCATTTCAGGACTCCGAGCAAAGGATATTCTGGCCTATTAGTAGCCGAAGTGAGGGTTCCTCCTTACCAATATATTATTCCACTTTTCTTCAAATTTCTCATTCACCACCAATGCTGTTGCTTCAATCAATGAATTGAAAGTGTGCACATCAGCTATAAAAGAAAAACTACTTTAACAAAATTTGGGGTTGGTGATTAAAGGCCAAGTGTTCATGCACATGAGCCCACAAAAGTAGAAAACCATTCTTTTCTCTGGCTCTGGACTCTCGCTTCAATCACCAACATCACAGGAAAAGATTAAGAATGAGCAAATCATTAAGGTAAAATCCTATGATTTTATAGACTGCTGATATAATGGTGCAGAGGTAAGAATGCAGAGGTGATGCAGAGGTAAAGAATTCACCAGCCAATCCCTGGGTTGGGAAGATCCCCTGGAGATGGAAATGGCAACCAATTTCAGTATTCTTGCCTGGGAAATCCCATTGACAGAGGAGCCTGACAAGCTACAGTCCATGAGGTCGCAGAGCTGGGAAATGACTGAGCACGCACACACGCCCACACAAGAGAAGGAAAGGAAGGACAGAGGGGAATTCTCCAAACACAACTCACCACGGAGTCTGTTGTTTAATAGTTCAGTGTACAAGCTTAATGCCTGTGTATGAGCTCGGTGCTGGAAGAGGGAAAGGATGAAAATTAAACACCATAAAAGTTGTCTTTAATAAATATTTGCATATCTACTGTTCTCAGAAGTAAAAGGATAGACCAGAATGGATAGTGTTTTTCCTTTTTACATGAGCAGTGTGGTATAATACAGTTTCTATTCCTGTTACTTCAACCCAGTGATTTCAATTTTTAAAAACTTTCCTAACAATTTTTTTCAATAAGTGTATCTTATTTTAATGAAAAAAACAACTCTGAGAATTACGTTGTCACAACTGGGGGATAGGAGGATGCATCACTGACATGAAGTGGGTAGAGGCAGTTCCCAAACATCCTTCAAGGCTCTGGAAACCCCCGATGACAACAAACTATGTGGCCCAGGTGTGAAGGGTTCTGAGGCTGAGAAACCCCAATTCAGTAGAAATTGAAGACAAAAACATAAAACTATCCAGAACAAATGTTACCTTCACCATTCCTCGAATCATTGTGCAGTAAGAATGTGCATTTTTCTCAGGCATCAGAGCAAAGATTCTCTCAGCATGGTTTTTGGCTCTAGACACAAGAGAGTAAACGTGAACCAGCAGAAACAGATAAAACCAGTAACGGCTACCACATGGAGTATTTGCAACGTTCCAAGCATTTTCTGCATAAAATTTCAAGGAATTCTTTCCACCGAGAGAGGGAGATCTGGTTACTATCATTTTAAAAATGGGAAAAACTGAGGCTCAAAGACCTTAAATTGTCCAAAAATTTACTGGTTAAGTGGCAGAAGCAGGACTTGAAAGGTGTAATATATACTCAGCTTTGTCAACAAAAAGCAAACTGCACAGCAGGGTAAACAGTGAAGTTCCTCCACCCCCTTTCAACTGGATGTAATTAACAGAGGCAACCACAGACATGTGGTGTCCTGCAATCCTTTGTTCTATTCTAGCTTTTATAATCTGGCTCTTTCAGTCAGTCAGTCAATGTGTTCTGTTATACAAATCATGCTGCACCTTCATTTTCTCTGTTACCAACACATCTTGGAAAATAGAGCCTGGATTTGGGCCAAAATGGTACTCACAAGTCCCTCTCTTAACCACTATAAGAAATTATTAGTATCTACTGAAGAAAGTTTAATTTTTTATTCTTTTCATTTTGATATTAACAGTAGTTTTCCTTTTCCAGATACCCTTATTAAATACCTTTCTTTTAGATAGTTTTACTCAGTTAATTTGAATTCTGAATCATTACATGATATTTATCTTTTGTTCAGTAGTGAATACCTGTTTGTTAGCCAGCAGTCTTAATTTAGAACTATGCCCTAGCATGCATGTATTCTAACATAATTTGAAAAATTCTGAACCTTTTTAGAATTAGAGGTATATAGTGCAAGTTCAACATTACTTTGCCAACAAAAGTCCATCTGGTCAAGGCTATTGTTCTTCCAGTGGTCATGTATGGATGTGAGAGTTGGACTGTGAAGAAAGCTGAGTGCTGAAGAATTGATGCTTTTGAACTGTGGTGTTGGAGAAGACTCTTGAGAGTCCCTTGGACTGCAAGGAGATCTAACCAGTTCATCCTAAAGGAGATCAGTCCTGGGTGTTCATTGGAAGGACTGATGCTGAAGCCGAAACTCCAGTACTTTGGCCACCTCATGTGAAGAGTTGACTCATTGGAAAAGACCCTGATGCTGGGACGGATTGGGGGCAGGAGGAGAAGGGGACAACAGAGGATGAGATGGTTGGATGGCATCACTGACTCAATGGACATGGGTCTGAGTAAACTTCGGGAGTTGGTGATGGACAGGGAGGCCTGGCGTGCTGCGATTCATGCGGTTGCAGAGAATTAGACAGGATTGAGCAACTGAACTGAACTGGAGTGCAAGGTAGGACCACTAATGAAACTACCAAAACAACCATACCATTATGGTTACATGGAGTTAGGCGGGGGTGGGGGAAGAGAAATCAACACCAGTCCTGTACCTCTAGCTGGTTGGAGGTAAAGCTCTAACAAAAAATGGTCCAAACACATATGAAAACCAACTGTGACATTTATATTGCACACAAAGAACAAATTGCATTTTAGAGTACTACAGGGTTGTATCTTCTTCAGGAGAGCATTCCACAACCCTACGGATCCATAAAAGTTCTAATTATACTGTAACATACCTCCAAATAACTCTAAGCTGATGGCCAGCTGCCTTCTTAGACTTCACGTGATCTCCCTCTTCGGCGGCCTCTTCCTGAAATGAGCCATCACCAACAGATATAAAACAGAATACAACAGAAAGCATGCTCCGAGTTATACTACTCAAAAGCAGTAAGGCAGAGGAAATTTTGGAAAAGCAAAGGAAATAAAGATTCGGTAGAAGGTAAAAAGAAGACCCAGTGTTTATTAAGAAATATTAATTTCTAGAGTATGCTCATTTCTCTCTGCCTACATATGTGTGAATTTTCAAGAGGGCTGGGCCAGGGGTTTTCCCCTCTGTCCCATGCACAACATATTGTCACTTTAAGGAACAACAACAAAGGGTCCCGTCCAAACATTTCTGGTCACTGGTTTCTGCATGTGGCAGGTAAGGTCAAAATACATTTAAGGAGGGAACCAGGGTAAAACAATTGTTAAAATCCATCTCTTCCTTCACATCACATTTTGTCCAGGCTACATACTGTGCTACATCACACCTCAGCACAAATCTCTACCTTAACATAAGGCATAAGAACTCGCCTTGGAATGAGAAAGAATTACTATCAAAAGAAACTTAAAAAAATCATTACCAACTCTTCTGATTGTTCCTGTTGCTGGAAATTATAATTAGTGGAGGGTTCTTGATTACCATAGTAACACAACAAATCCAAGAGACTGTTAGTTGTTTCCAGAGATACAGTGGTTCCTGTGGGTGGGGGAAAAAAAGGGTAGGGGGGAGAAACTTTGAAACATCAAAGAACTAAAGCCTACTGGATTAAAAGTCTTCACTCTTCCTATGAGGTGTGGCCCTCCTGGCTACATATCCAGTGTCATTTATTCTCCAAGGGTGAGTGTGCACCCCACATCAACTTAAGCATCTGGAGTGATGCAGACAGCACACAGTCCCTAACAGTGCTGTCTGATAGAAGAGATCAAATACAAGAGCCAAGTTTGACCCTGGGTTCATTTATTCTATGTATTCATACCCCCGGAGAAACTCTCGTATCGTTCTACCTATCATCTCTGAACTGAATACTCTGGAAATGATTGACATGTAGCCCCCCAGGGCCCAGTTCCATCTCCACAAACGCAATCGAACTCTTTCGCTTGGATCCAGGCCCTCGCTGAAATACATGCCTAAAGATAGCAGCCTTTAAAAATTACTGTCCCAAACATTATGTTCCCATCTTGACACTTATCAAGAGGGAGAAAAGGGAACAGGAAGAAGTATGAAATATAACTTAGTGCTTTAAAAAGAAAAGTAACTGCATTTTTCTTAAGAAAATATACTGATAATACAAATGCCTATCAGGAAACTTAAAAGTCTAAAAAAGACAAAATGGCACAGTGGAGAGGAAACAGGTGATGAAGTGTAACTTGACTGCCTCATAGCATCTCAGAGCTGTGTGACCCTGAAGATTACTTGAAGTCAGTCAGCTTCCTTTATAAATGACTACCAGCACACCAACTCATAAGGTGTTATAGAATTAAATGCCTACAAAGTGCTTGGCACTTATTAGAGCCTTGATAGTAAACTTTTCTGTATTTCCTCTCCTAGTATGTCAACTCATTCCACTACTCTGAATGAGTTGAGTGTTATAGCTCTGACCCTGTCTTTAGTAAGGTTCACTTAACAGCTGCATGCACCTACACCACAAAGTGTGTAAAGCAGAGGAAGACAAGTCTTAATATAATGATGTTTATCATATTCAACAAGCAGAGTGAAAAGCCTCCCTAAATGACAATCTGCATCAGCAATTCATTTGTATACCTGATGCTTTAACAGGCTACACACCAAAATTCTTAAAAGTTTTCTGCAAATGGTTCTTGCCATATTCAAGACTATATTGAGTGATTCAGTCCAGTTTCTATCTCTTGTATGTTTGGCTGATTTTTATCCTAAACCACTGACCAGCACTCCATATTCCAGAACTTAAGCAATGCTGCTACCTTCCATGTCGCCCCAGGTATATTCTCATCTCATGGTAGCTTACAAGCCCTGCCACCTATACCCCTGGAGGTTCATCCACATCAAATTCAGATAGCCACAGGATCTGAGAGACAGAAGGATTAAAGGAGTTGAGTTTTTCAAGGCTACAGTGCTAATCAGTGCCAGAACCTACCCAAGTTTCTGATCCTGCAGCTTAGTGCTCTTTCCTTTTTAAGTATTTCTTTCTGGTCTGTTTTATGCCTCTCAAACACACTTAAAGAATAAAAGAAACGTGAATACAGCACGAACAAACCTGATGTTAAAAACAGAAGCTAAGGAAGAATGGCCGTAAGATTTCTCTACCTGCACAAGAGGACAACACATCAGCAAGAACAACTCTATCCTACCCACAATTTAAAAATGACACTAAAGCAGAACTTGAAACAGGACTTCTTGAACTATAAAAAATATAAACACAGCTACCAAGCAGAGGAAGTAGCATAGCACTTGTAACTCGTACTCACAACTATCTAGATCACGTGCACAACTGTGGCCTACTGCCATGCCCACATTCCCAGGGGAGCCTCACAAGAACGTGGGGGCTTCAAATGAACTCAGTCACCTGCTTGCAAAAGCTGATCAAATATGTCCACAGAAGCTTTGACTTTTTTGAGCTTGATTCGTTCTTGCAGAGCAGCCTCACTTATTTCTTCAATCTGAGGTTCAAAGTACTCAGGCATTAAACACTAGAAAATAAGATGGTTAAATGGAAACAGGTCAATGGGAAAGTACAACAAGATTTTGATTAACACACCATAATATTCATGCTTCATGTATTAGATAGTACCTATCATTTTAACATGAATGCCTCTTTAGGTAATCTTACTTTACCTCTCCAGTCACCAAAATAAGATTACTTAGAGATCTCCTAAGTTGGGCCAGAAAATTTAAAAGCTCCTAATTACAGATGTTTAGTCTGTATTTGAAGAATCCTATATTGAACTAAATTCCCCAATTTCAAGCTTAACTTACTATTTTTCCTTTGCTAAAACCATCCTTCCTACGCTCCTCAATCTTGGTTGAAGGTTCCCCAGTATACCTAGTTTGTAAAGACGGAAACCTTCCATCCTTGATAACTTCTTTAACTGTAAACATTCAGTATTACCAAGGTATGTTGATTTTACCTCACTCACCAAATTATTCAAATACTTAGGGACCCAGGGAAGGCTTCAAGCAGAAGTGAACTAAACACAGAAGAGTAACTACTAGTCAGAAACATAGGAGAGGGTAGGCCCAACAAATGGTCATTCCACTGCTGTTACTGTCTTAGTTCAGGATTTCAGTATCTTTATGGACACAATCACACTGACATTCTAATTTGTCCCCAAGACTTACTGCTTGAGAAGCACAAGGGGTGTCTGGGTATGTGTGCTTAGAAAGTAGGGAGATGTGAGAGGAAGCAGTTTTAGACACAGTGAGTCTGAGTTACCATTTCCGCTACTTAACTCAGAGGCAGGGCCCACGTTCGGCTGCCCACTGTGTGACACAGGAAGCGCAATGCCGAGCACCCAGCGGGCGCGCCGCACTCACTCCTCACGACTACAGAACAGAGTGGGCTGGAAAAACGCGTCTGGACTCCCAAGGAGAGACATCGAGGCCAACATACAAGAATGCCAAATGGAGTATAAGGGTTATTGAAGCAGGAAGATTCTAGTCAGAAAAAAAAGAGTGACCAAGTATGGAATCCTGAGAAAAAGACACCAAGGTTTGCGGAGTGGATGGAAAACCAACTAAGGGAACCAGAAAAGGAAGCCAGAGGTGAAGATCTGAGAGCCTGGTGTTGCAGAAGCCAAATAAAGAAAATAAAACGAAGAGCAAATACATGTAGTTTTAAAAATGATTAAATAAAGGTTAGTACTGTGAGCAATGATAACCATAAACATTAAAAGACTTTTCACCCAAATGCTGTAGGCATTCAAATGGCTACTTAAACGTTAGTTGTGACAGCTTAGTTTATATTTACATAGTATTATCTAAAAATTGCAATTACCTCTCCTTACCGGTATATGAGGCTCAGCTATGTCTTTCTGAAAATATTTGGGATATGAATTAATAATAAATTTTGCTGCATTCTCTCCAGACTTCTTTGCCAACAAAAATGAATGCTGTTAAAGAAAAAGATATAGATGTAAATTGGTATTACATATAATTTAGATCAAAGTTACACCCTCAGCAAGAAGGTGCCCTCCCCCACCCGCCCGAAGAACACTGTAATACAAAGAATTCCAATTAGAAATTAAACTACCTCATTATTATTTACCCACCTCTGCTGAACGTGACATAATTTCAGGTTGGATCCTACATACAGCTTGAGGTGTGTAAAAACAACACATTTAAATTAAGTGAATTGCTCTGTGGTGGGAAAGATCTCTAAGTACTAAAAATCCAAACCAAATACCTTCTCCACAGCCAATCTCTAAAACTTTTTGATAAAAGAAGTAAAAGAATCAGAAAATCTACCAATTTATCTATCAGCCTCTATGAACTTTTCAAAGGTGTCTACAGGTAAAATAAGTCTTACGTGTAAGTCCTGTCACCCAAACCAACAAGGTAAAACATAATACTAGCTGAGTTACATAAAAATACTCACAGATTCCACAGAGGATGTCGGTATGAGGTAAGGATCATCCTGAAATGCATAAGGTGCAGCTGTGGTATCCTGTGGAGAAGACAAACAAGTCTCTTTAGCTAGGTTTTTATTAAGAGGACCTTGTGGAAGTTTTAACTATGCATGTATCACAGAAACAGAAATATGTATGTTGGTAGACACTAATACCTACGCTGTACCCTAGGCTCTGGGAGACTTGGTTACAGTTATGCACAATTTAAAGAAAACAATGGCTCAAATCCCCATGCATGGTTTTAACTAGGGGCTTCTATCAGCAGGGAAATCACTGTTTTAAATGCAAAGTCAAGAGCCTCTGAATTAACCAGCCTGGGCACCAGTTTCCTGAACTAGGGTGTCCCTTCAACACATGGTACTAACCACCCAAGAGGCTCCTTCAAATGAAGGATACTAATTATGGGGCCCTCTCAGGAAGTGGGAACAGCAGCAGTGTCTCCCGTGTCCAGTTTCCCAAAGTTCCAAACTTCTTTAAGTTCTTTCAGGTAGAACCCTGAGCAAGATTAACTCTTTGGCACCAGCAGTCTCTCTTAGAAGGGCCCCCAAATTACTTCCTATATTCCCTCCTCTCCCCGAATTACTTCCTCTATTCCTCCCCTCTCCCTCACAGCCCCCTTCTCTGCGCCTTCTAGCAACTTTGTTTCACAGAAAAAACTCAACCTACATCCCGAATCTCTTCTGACAGTCCCCTTGCCACCCTGCACCCTGAAGTATTCACCTGGACTCTCTGGGGGAGAGCTTCCCTGTGGTTCTTAACAGAGGGATGCTCTGACCTAGGGCCTGAAAGCAGTACTTTTTGGGGCTCTCACTTCCTGATACCACTTTCAAATCCTGTATTCCCTTTACATTCCTCTGAGGCTCACTTCATCTGGTTCACAAGTGATCTCTGGGCTTCACAGGTGGCGAGAGTGGTAAAGAACCCGCCTGCCAATGCAGGAGAAGAGACACGGGTTTGATCCCTGGGTTGAGAAGATCCCCTGGAGGAGGGTATCGCAGTGTTCTTGCCTGGGAAATTCTATGGACAGAGGAGCCTAGTGAGCTACAGTCCATAGGATCAGAGTTGGACACGACTGAAACAACTTAGCACGCATGCATCCACTCTCTACCAAGATGTGACGGGTATGAAGGACAACTCAGAGGAAGCAGTTCTAGGATGGCTTCCTTGGACCATTACCCCATGATTCCCAACCGCTGCCTGGTTCTGTCTTGTCCACCATCTTTATCAAATACCTGTTTGGGCCTCTAGATTTGGGTCAGATGCTGGACCTCTCTCACTTACTTATTCTTATTTGTTCCACACATTTTTCCCCCTCAGTGATTTCCAAGCCCTTAATGGTTTGAGAAACCACTCCTCGACTCTGGCCCTGTAGCTCAGATGCCTCACACCAAATCTACCCCCGACTGTACTTCTCTGACAGAGTCACCTCCCCTCTTATCGTCTCCATTTCAGTGAAGGATACCAAGCACTCTGCAACCCCAATCAAAGACCCTCTCCCGTTACTTCCATTCAACCAAGCTGTCATCAGTTGTGGCAGACTCCAGTTCCTTAAATCCTCTACCTACTCCACCATCCCTTTCCCCAGCCACCATTGGCTTAGTTGAGTGCCTGACTTATTCACTCATTCGGTATTTACTGAGCACCTCATACGTGCCAGGGAGACAACAGAATCCTATCCTCCACAGAACTCACAATCTAGTGGGGAACAAAATCTCCAGAAAACAAAGCAAGTAAAACATATAGTAAATTTAAAGGAAATATCTCCTACGGAAAAGGGAGGGAGGGAGGGAGGACAAACTGTCAGAGGAAATAAACATGCAATTCTACATGGTGTCGTCCGGGAAGACCTCAAGGAAAAGATGTAAAGAGATAAAAGGAGGAATTTATAACAAATGAGAAGCCATTTGAGTTCTGAGTAGAAAAGTGATGTGAATCAACGTTTTAGCAGGGTCACTATGGCTGCTTAACGTGTGGAGGAAATCAAGAGAACAGAGGCTGCTGTAATTAATCCAACAGAGTAAGAGATGATGGTGGCTTGGATGACCTGGTAAGCACCATTAAGGGAAGAATGTGTGGTTCCTGAGTGAATGAATAATTGTCCCCTGGATTTTATGAGCCCAAGCCCAAATCAGACAACTGTGCACATAATTCCACAACTTCTTTGATTTAAATGCGCGTTGGCTCAATCTCACTGAAAAACTGACAACAATCTTTGAGGTCTATTTCCCCGAGTTTACATTTCAAGTGCCTATTTATGGATATGTGAGCTGAAAATCTAAGTATCTTGCTAATATGGAGATGCAGTATTTTAAAAACAATCTCAGAAACTTCCAGGATGTATTTGGCCCACAAGTTTAACACCTACAATCGAAGAACAGTTCTGGAAATCTGTGACAACCACCTCAAGGAGGGTGAGAATCCACATAGATATTGTGGTTAAAAAAAAAAGAGAACTTGAAAGTTCTATTTCTGAGGCATATACTATGGTTTCAGTTTATCTATCAAGACTACAGACCCTACTCTTGAATTGTGAAGGGAGGAGTTTATTCACAAATAAATCGGATAGTTGGAGCAATAATAAAATAGCCAGTATTTACTGAGCATGTCCTTTGTGCCAGGTGATGTCCTAAGCCCTTTCACGTGTACTAATTTATTTCTCACCCGAAACCTCAATGTTTGGTACTCTAAGTAAACACCCATTTTACAGATAAGGAAACAGATTATAAACCAGATGTATTTTTCTAAAGTAAGTTTGATATAACATTCATAATACAAGCCATTAAAAAAAAAAAGAAAACAGGTAGGCAATTTTACACATCAAAACTAATTCCCTGATGTATCAAGAGAAAAGGTAACTTTGTGATAAAGATGAAACAGAGTATTTGGCCTCAAGACCCAGATTCTTAATCACTGAATTTCTTTCAGTATGGTGGGTAGGTACGCTGTTCTCAAAGTGGTTCTACAGGTCACTTGCATATCACACCCACCCATTCCCTAGGAACATGTATTTCAACAAGCTCTTCAGGAGGTTAAAAATCACTGGCATAATATAAAAACAAAGAATATGGAGGGGGAAAAACCATGGCACCAGGTCAAGGTTTTAATATCCTAAGCAGCCCTGGGCTAATCACTTTAAAAGCTTTAGATTTCTCATTTGTCTCATGAAGAGTCTGGACTAGATGGTGCTATGAAACTCTCTAGATCCACAACAGTTAAATTGTGAATAAAGAAGAGGTGTGAACATTAAGTTTATTATTAGCTGAATTAGATACAAAAACCTGAAATTCCTACTTACCCTGTGCACCGTGGATGCAAGTGCTTGAAGAACAGCCACTTTATCCCTAAGAATGAGAATCACAAGTTAAGCCTCACCAGGGCTTCTCACACTCACAACGTGAACAAGTGACTCTACTCTCAGAATGGACTGGCCATTAACAAAGATCATGTCTCAAGTAAAGCCAGTTCTGATCTCTAGAATAATGTCACTAGAATAGTAAGTTAGAAAATAAGAAAACTGTTCAATTCTTTTGACCAAAGGTGGTTAGTACATGTTCCTACTATGGTTTGCTACCCTCTCTGGCCTGGTCTCCATAAAACTGTTACCCCGGGCTAGCAATTTCCACCTTCATCTCATAAAACTTTCTTAACCCTGAATCTTACGTCCTATCCATTTTCCTCTGCATTCTTACTGCAGCTTTCTGTAATATTCCTGCCTTTATTATCTAAATTGGTGACTCCCAATTCAGCTATATATGGGAATAGACATATGAAAAAAAGAGAAAACATCTACAAAACTTTACATGTCAAGACTAATTCCCTGATGTATACAATATCTACTGGATTTTCTAAAATAGCAGTTAATGTAATTTTAGCGAGAAAGACATTCTTTCCTCAGTATTCCCTAACTAAATCTTTCATTAGCATATTTAAGTCTTATCAAGTGAGTACTCTTCATAACATACTCAACAAATCCAAGTGAAAACACTAAGAACATTCAAATCAGTCACCAGTTTCTTAAAGGGTTATTTTAAAAATAATCTCAGTGAGTACATTATACTGAAAAAAAAAAAAAAACTGGCAGAAAACAACCAAATTCTGTAAGGCAAGTATCCTTCAATTAAAAAATAAATTAAAAAAAAACTAGACTATTATATCTGATGTTATTTTGTGACCCCCTGCCCCCACTCTACTGTAGGTTTAGTGTTTATATTTCCAGAACTTTAGAGGGTACTTTTGCACACACACCACCATAAAAAACAAAACAAAAAGCATGTCATCATTCTGGGTATGTGTTCCATAAGTTTGCATTACCCATGTTACTATGTGCAAATCTAATTAATTTCTTTAAATGTTATATTGTATGATAACCATTTTTTAATCATCTCCTTACTATGGGCATTGGGGCCATTTCACTGTGTTATTCCCAAGTTGTAAAGAACACTCTCATCCATGTCTCTTTGGGTATATTTGCAAGTGTTCCTCCAGAATGGCTAACCAATTAGGTATTGCACATTTTAAAGTGTGGTTCTGATATTGTATGATAACCATTTTTTAATCATCTCCTTACTATGGGCATTGGGGCCATTTCACTGTGTTATTCCCAAGTTGTAAAGAACACTCTCATCCATGTCTCTTTGGGTATATTTGCAAGTGTTCCTCCAGAATGGCTAACCAATTAGGTATTGCACATTTTAAAGTGTGGTTCTGCCAAATTTCTCTCCAGTGTGTTGCTCCAGTTGACTGCTCTATCAACAAATGTATCTGAGTATCCATTTTCCACCTCTTCTGGCCAGTGTGGTAAACTTTAACATCCATTTCTTTCATGAGTCCAGTCACCTATGCACTGATCACAATTGGGCTCCATGCCCCCCCTAAAGTAACTACACAATACTGATTAACGTGCTCAAAATACTCTATCCTGTCACAGTTGTATGTGACAATACAGAATAACCCTCTACAATTTGTTAAAATCTTCTACAACACTTGTGATCTGGGAACTCACAGCCTTAAAAGATGCTTCATCTTTCAAATAAGGCAAGAGGAACTTACAGTCTTTATAGTTTCTTTTTGATCTAAAAGCACAAATTCTTGAGCCTGGAAAGCAGAATCTCTCTATTAGAGATTCTCTATCAATCACTTTGTCTCTAAGGGGACAGACAGTAAATATTTTGGGTTTTATGGGCCAGAAGGACTCTGTTACAACTACTCATCTCTGCCTTTGGAGCATAAAAGTAGCCACAGATAGTAAGTTATTAAGTGACTGAGGTTGTGTTCTAAAAAAGAAAAAAAAAATTTAATTGACACCGAAATTTGTGTTATGAAATAAGTCTTCTTTTAAACCTTTACTTAATGGGCTATAAACAAATAGGCCTCAATCTGTTAACCAAGGCTCTATATCAACTACCCTATTTCTCCTATTCTAAGAGCATTTTTTAGAGGCTGGCCTGCATGGTCTCCCACCACCAGTTAGGTCATGATCACACCCCACCCTGCCTTACTGTTTTTCAGATTTGTGGGGCTTATACAGAAGAATTACCTGCAGGAACATGTATTTTAAACAAAATTCCCAGGTGATTCTGATGCCAATAAAATCATCTGACCCATTTTAAGGTACAGTTAAACAGCGTTTTCAACAAAGAAAAGTCAAAGTCACTCAGTTGTGTCCGACTCTTTAGGTGGGAATTCTCCAGGCCAGAATACTGGAGTGGGTAGCCTTCCCCATCTCCAGGGGATCTTCTCAATCCAGAGATCGAACCCAGGTCTCCTGCACTGCAGGTGGATTTTTTTTACCAGTTGAGCCACCAGGGAAGCAATAAAGTACAAAATATGCACTCTAACTAGACTGTAGGCCATCTGAACACACCCCCAATACACTTCCTCTCTTGTATTCCCCGTGGGACCTTTGTCAGAAGGGAAAGAGGCACAATGAGTTGGTAAAGCGTGCTGGACAGGAATGTCATTCAAGAAAAGCCTCATTCAAGCTTATGTATATTCCTATTCTGATCTCGGCTCTGATTCTCTGGCCTGTGTTTTAGTTACTGGGTCATATCAGACTCTTTGCTACCCCATGGACTGTAGCCCGCCAGGCTCCTCTGTCTATGGGATTTCCCAGGCATGAATACTGGAGTGGGTTGCCATTTCCTTCTTGAGGGGATCTTTCCGACCTAGGGATTGAACCCACATCTCCTGCATTGGCAGGCAGATTCTTTACCACTGAGCCACTAGGGAAGGTAAAAATGAATCTGAATATATCCATACAATAAAATACTATGTAATCACTCAAAATTAAAATCAGAGTACAGAACAGTACATCTAACAAATCACTACTAAACTAAATGTCCACATACAACTTATATATAAAAAGTTATACAGCAGAACTTTAAAATAATAGCTGCCATCTACTGAGATCTGATTATGTGGTAGTAACTGTTGAAATGCTCATGTAATCCTCTGAGGCAGGTAGTATACCACCCACATTCTACTATAGCAAAGACAGATTAAGTAACTTGCCTTTGAATACAGTGATTGGTGGTAATTTTATTTCCTTTTTGCATGTTCAATTTATCGCACTCCCCTTTTGGCAATGATCATTAGAGAGCTTTTTTTTTAAAATGAGTCTGAATCTTCAAGTCATACTCAAAAAAGACCTAGTTATTTTGAAGGATCTTTCAATGCATTCAGTAATATCATTACTATATGAATTTTTGTAAGTTTTAATTCTTACGTATTCAACAAATGTTGACTATGTATAAAGCAATTTGTTTAAGGATTTATCAAGTGGGTTAAAAAAGCTAAATTTTGCAGTCTGCACCATTTACCTACTAAAGATCATAAAGATAATTCTTTTTTGGGTCTCCTAACAATGTGAAACCTCCTTAAGAAAGAAAAACAGAAATTATTCTAATAATGATACTCATGACTGACCATCACTACGTAAATATTAACCCAAACTTAGTTCAGATAGGTCTTTTTAACTCTTAAGTAAATCTCACTCCCCATTCACTCACTACTCTCTACCTCCAATTGCTATTCCTGTCACTGGCTTCTTAGCTAACAACGTTTCTCATAAGCACTGAACCACTTTTTGAATGAACGCTGAATACTCACCAAGTTTTCTTTTTTGGAATGACTACTTCTTCAGTCCCTTAATGCAAAAAATAAAACAAAAGCAAATCAGTTTCCAATACTACTACTATAAAGAAGTATAATGCATTAACATAAAAATGGAGTCATTTCAATACATTTTTATATACCTGCTATATCAGCTCCTTCAACCTTTGGGACAGCTGCACTTCCAGAATAAAATCTGTAATAAATAAATAAATAAATAAATAAATAAATAAATAAATAAATAAATAAATAAATAAAAGCTAATACTCATTAATGAACTTTCCAGCTCACCCCCAACTATGTGCAACTGAGCCAAAATTTTCCAATTACCACGGATCAAACTGATTGGATAATTCATTTCAAGGTATGCTGAGAAGACATGGCCTCAATGGCAAGTTCAAAACCATTACAAAATAAGTACAAAATACAGATATAACAGGGCCAACAATTTTTAAAATCAGGCAGTCTCATTAAATAAAATCATAGGAAAAAAAAGAAAAAATTTAGTAGTACTTGAACATCATTTTAACAGCTGACCTGAAATATGAAGGACTTTCAACTCTGAAGACCTAAAACACTGGGGCTAAAAGAAATGATTCAATGGGCTCCTGATTATACATGGATGATGATCTAATGATCGTAATGATCTAATGATAATAAAAGACAAAGCCATTTAAAGCAAATTATGAAAGTAAGATCACTATGGTTTTTCATTCCACTTCCTTCAACACTCAGGAATGTACCAAACACCTGTATCCTAATATAAACTTGGAACTGTTATTCTTTTTTTAACCCAAAATATAGAACCACTGACCCCTGAATGAGTTTTAAAATGTTATCACGTTAAAAAAATAAGGTCAACATACCACACAGATCACATATATCTTGTAAGTATCTTCCTCCTAAACAGCACTGATACCCTTTAGAAAACTGTCAAGATGTGATTAAGATAGAAAATTACTTCCTTTCCTGGTTTTGGTCTCCAGTGTCCTCTTAAATCAACCCTTCTCTGCACTACCTGGTGGAGCGTTTTCTCTTTTGTGAGCCGAGTTGAGGGAAGGCCTTAATATAAAATGTATACTGTAAATTATACAACTCACTTATTCCTCACTGTTTTTCCATGGCTGCTACTAGCTCCAGTCTACACATAAGGAATTTGTCTACTATCACCTCGCAAAGGAAACGCAAACATCCAATCTAAAATTAGGTTATTTCCAACTTTCACAAGCAATTGCTGGCTTTCATACTTCCACAACGCTATTGCTTGTATTGAAAAGAAAACACACACACACACACAAATGATACATGTGCCAAGTTTTAACAATCACAGCGATTTCATTCAGATTGTGTTCACATCTTTTGGGCTTTCCTGTTTTTAAGAACACTTGGAAAATTTCTTCCGTCAAACATCCCCAAAACATCCAGGAGAACTCGTAAACTGCCTTTAATTTGAGAAAACCTGATATTCCCCCGTTCCTCCCGTGTGGGAGAAAACAAGTAAGGGCGGATAACGTTTGCCTTTTTTAAAAAATACGTGGAACGGGATGATTAATAGCCACACTTATTAGAATGCAGGATCCCCAAGAGAAGAATCCTAATCTCCCCGAGAGTTTAAACCCCGGCGTAGACCAGCCAAGTAAGAAATCTCCACCCCAAAAAAGCGCGTTTAGAGCCCTTGCGCAAAAACATGCCGCACCGCGTGCTGGCTTGCCGGGTCGCGCTGCCAAGAGCGCGCGCATTCCACTCCACCGCATTTAGTTCTCCAGCACTAAGGGGGAAAGGGGATACAAAGAACCAAGGTGATCCCGATTCTTTCTCATGCGTCCTCCAAGCTTCCCTTACCTGCTACTAGGGCTCCGTCCACAGGGCCCTGTCCACCGAGCCGTCAGCGGTACGCAAAGCCCACGGCTGACCCTCAGCCACCTTGCGGACGCCAAGGACGCCATATTTGGCGTCTTCGCACAGTATGCTGGGAAAGCACGCCCTCCAACTTAAGGCGGGAGGTGGCAGGTGGGCGGGGAATAGCTCGGCTATTGGCTGAGACGGAAGAAGAAGAAATCAATCATAAAATAGGTTACAAGCTCATGATGTGAAAGACTTTGCTTCAGAAGTTAAAGGCTCAGTAGGCCTCATTTCCCTCTAAATTCTTTCCTAAAAGATTATTTAAATTTCGTATATATGTTCGATTATTTTCCAAATACAGGGGCGCGCGAGAGTCGTGAAATTATTTTCTACCCCCCCCCCCCCAGAGCGGAAATGATATTGTCCCTGTAAATCTCCTTAAGGCGAGCCTTTCTCGCGCGCAAGCGCAGTTTAAAATCACATGGTGGCAGACCGGAGGTGGTGTGAAAAGTACCCCAGTGGTGACTGGGCCGTCTCTCTGGGTGTAGGAGCTCGGAACTGAACTGGAGGATGTTGGGCTCAAAGAACATGCCCTGGCGGCGGCTGCAGGGCATTTCCTTCGGGATGTATTCGGCCGAAGAACTCAAGTAAGGAGTTGGTGGGAAGCATGCAAGAGCCTCTTGGGGTCGGGGCCGTAAACTACTGTTCCCAGCAGGTCTTGCACCCGCTTTCTCCTCAGAGTCCATTGCTGTGTAGCGCATGGCCTGCTGGGACCTATAGTACGGGGAACGTCTGGGACTAGTGAACACTGCCTAGAGGCCAGTGTGACTGGTTTGCATTTGGGTAGGTGGGGGTTCCTAAGTGGAAGCGTTATCATCCGCCAGTCTCCTCGTTAAATCAGCTTGGTTTGTGGAGTTACTGTAATGTCTCTGACGTAGTTTATTAAGCGCACGATGAGTCTCCTCTTGTCTGTAAGATGATTATGCCTCAAGACTCAATTCATGGGACAACTTCTTGGTTGGACCGGCTATATTCTCTGCCTAGTTACTAATACTAAATCAAAAAGACCCTCTTAAGTCCTCATTTTCGTCACCGTAGCATTTGACAGAACTTTATTGTTTTCAGGTTCTTCTATTTCTGTGACATGTATTGTTTCCTTCCTAACTCAGTTTATCAACCTACTAACATTTATTGATCATCCACTTTTTGCCAGGCACTAAGCTAGGTGTTCATGAAAAGTGAAAATGTTAGTCTCTCATTCCTGTTCAACTCGTTGCCACCATGTGAACTGTAGCCCGCTGGTCTCCTCTGCCCATGGAATTCTCCAGGCAAGAATACTGGAGTGGGTTGCCATTCCCTTCGCCTGAGGATCTTCTCGACCTAGGGATCGAACCCAGGTCTCTTACATTGCAGGTAGATTCTTTACCGTCTGAGCCGCATTCCTGACGCACTGGTGGACAAGGTCCTTGCATTCAGTGGCTTATATTCGAATTCATCTCAGTCTCTTTAGCTGATTCCTCTTTTCCTTAAATTTTTCTGTTCCTTGAGATTCTATTCTATTCAAATAGCTTTTCTTTTCCAAAATGTCCTCCCTAGACAGTTTCACCACTTTCATGATCTGTACTCTCAAATTTAAATCTCCAACCCAAATTTATTTCCCTGTTTTCTCAGGCTTGTTTTTTTCAGCTGCAGTTGGACATCTCTATTTGAATTTCACACTGAGATCTTAAACTCATATACCAAAAACTACACCTATCCCTACAGGGAGGGAGAACTTGCCCCTCCAAAATGGTATACCTTAATCTAGTGCAAAATGTTCACTATTTTGTGACAGGGCTGTAATTCTAGACCCATTTCTCTTGACATCTCATTTGCTTATTGGGATCTTATTGTGTGTCATCTATATATTTCTTTGTTCTCTACCCTCCTTTTCATCAGACCATATCTCTTGTTTGAATTGTCTTTTTCTTTTGTCTCCTTGCCCTTACACCACTCCAGTGCATCCTCTACCTTGCTGTTAAAATTATTCTTCCAAAGTGCAAATGTGATCATGCCCCTATTCCCCTTAAAATTCCCCAAAGGCTTTCCATTTCCCTTAGGTAAATAATACTTTCTTAGCTTAGCCTACAGGTTTACCCATGATCAGGCCAGTGCTGATTTTAGGTATAACATCATCCCTTCTTTCGCCCTACTAAACCACTTGCACATTCCATAAACTGCCATCAGATTTCATCATCTGTGCCTTTCTTCAAGCTGTTTCCTCCACATGCATTATCCTCTCTGCCAGAGAGATCTACTTCCCTGCTTTCACCCTACCGCCCCCCCTGGAGGCACTTGGAGAGCATCTCTTACAGTGAAAGTGCAGCTCAACCTCCCTCATTTCTGAGATCTTTCCGCAACTAGTACAGTTGTATCATGGTTCCTCGATTACTTTTTGTGCTTATTTGGATTTTTGTCTCTCTCCACTGGCCTTTCTTTTATCCTCAGCTCTCATGACTGACTGGATGAATAAACTCCTGAGCTACAACAGTATGCTGCTCCTGAAATTTCAACTGTATCATCACTAGCCATAAATTGATACTATTTCATTCAAAAGCAATAGAATTGATTTTTTTAGAAGTGAATTGTGGAGTTTTCAGAGAACTGCATGAGTAAATTTATACCCATTACTAACATTTGATCTATTTAAGTCTAGGGTTGAGAAATTTCAGTAATTATGCTACCTTTTGTTGTGCTAAGTTCTAATAGCTTCCTAGCTCACTTGGAGTAAGAGCCAAGTCCTTAAAATGGCCTGGAAAGGTCATTCTGGCCTCTGGTATTTCTCTGAACTTACCTCTGTACTCACCCTGGCCTCCTAGCTCTTTCCAGAGTGCCATAGGCACACATCTATCTCAGGACCTTTGCACTCCCTGCTTCTTCCTCCTGTGAAGGTGACCCCCTGTGATGGCTGGATTCATCATCTTCAGGCCTTTGTTCAAGTATAAGCTTCTCAGTACGGACTCCCCCCAGCCATTGGCCCACTCTATCATCCTCCCCCTTTTCTTGCTTGCTTGCTTTTCTTCATAGCATTTTCTTCCATCTAATAAACTATGCGCTTACTAATTTTGGTTTTTGTCTGCCTGCTTTCAATAGGATGTAAAGCCCATGAGCACAAGGACTCTTGTCTGTTTTCCCAGCATCTAAAAGTGTGTCTGGCACATTAAAAGCATTATTTGTTAGGTGCGTGCATGGGTGGGCGGAGGAGCTGTCTGTTCCGCTCTTGGTCCTCTCCATTTTTACTACAACCGTTTGTGAGAGTGACTCTAGTTATAGGAGAGGAAATTCCTTTCCAGAGAATAGGGTGACTCTAGGAGGCAGCAAAGGTCATCCTGAAACCCAAGTTTGTTAGTCTTAAACTCTGTTCTCTCTGGTGGAATTCTTGCTGGTTGCCCTTCCTCTACATCCCATTCCTGCTATAATTAGAGGAATTTTCTCCTTTTCCCCAGCTAGAGAGAGGAGCTTTGTTCCTTACCATGGAAAGACTGAGGATGAAGACAAAAACATACATTCAGTTTTGGATATGAGCTCTTTGTATAGTCTTTATAAGCAGAGGACATAGTCCTGCCAATTGGCACAGGTCTGTGGTGGACCCACCGGCCTACTCTTTTTCTATCATTATAGGCTCCAGGCAAGGGAAGTGAAGTACCAACTTATGGAAGATGATAGAGGATCTAGTGGTAAAGGCTTTGCACCCAGACCTAATTAGTATTTGCCTCATTTTAATTAGTTTGTGTTTGCCTGATGCAGTAAATATTTTTATTTATAATTCCAGTTAAGTTTTAGAGCTCCAAGTGAAATGAGAGGCAGAAATGTAGATGAACATTTCTCCAAGTCCAGTGAAGAATGATTTAGCCTAAAGGTAGTGGGAGAAAGTAGTAATAGTAGTGAGTTTAAATCATTAAAAAATTTTAAACTATGCAAACAATATCATCAAGAAAGTGAAAAAACAGGACTCAGACAAAGTATGTGCACAGCATATGTCTGATAAAACGCATGTGTTCAGAATATATATAGCAGTCTTGCAACTCAGTAATAAAAAAGCAAATAACCCAGTTAAAAAATAGGTAAAGGATTTGAATAAACATTTCTCCAAAGAGGGTATACCAGTGGCCAATAGGTACATGGAGAAATGCTCACCATCATTAGTTATCAAACCACTGTGAGATACTACCTCATACCTGCTAAGATGACTGGAAACAGAAAGATCACAAAATATGCTGGCAAGAATTTGGAGATATTAGAGCCTTGCTGTGGAGAAGGAAATGGCAACCCACTCCAGTACTCTTGCCTGGAAAATTCCATGGATGGAGGAGCCTGGTAGACTACAGTCCATGGGGTCACAAAGAGTCGGACATGACTGAGTGACTTCACTTTCTTTTTATAGTTCCTTTTGGAGAAGGAAATGGCAACCCACTCCAGTGTTCTTGCCTGGAGAATCCCATGGACGGAGGGGTCTGGTGGGCTGCAGTCTATGGTATTGCAAAGAGTCGGATGCGACTAAGCAACTAACACACACACACAGAGCCTTGGTGTATTGCTGCTGGGAATATAAAATGGTGCAGCCACTTTGGAAAACAGTCTGGCAGTGTCTCAAAAAAGTTAAACATGTAACTCAGCACTTCCATTCCTTGGTATATATCCATGAGTAATAGACAAAATATATTCACACAGCAACTTGTATGCAGAAGTTTCTGTCACCTAGCCAAAGTGTAAAAGTAAGCCAATAAAAGTGGTATAGCCATACAGTGAAATATGGTGTGTACGTCCTCAGTCTCTCAGTCATGTCCAACTCCTTGCAGCCGCATGGACTGTAGCCCACCAGGCTCCTCTGCCCGTGGGGTTCTCCAGGCAAGAATACTGGAGTGGGTTGTCATTTCCTACTCCAGGAAACCTTCCTGATCCAGGAATCGAACCCTAATATGTTGTATCTCCTGCGTTGCCAGGCAAATTCTTTACCACTAACGCCACATGAGAAGCCCAAAATGGAATATTATTTGGCTATTAAAAAAAAAAAGTATAGATAATAGGCTATAATGTGGATGAGCCTTAAAAATATGCGGGGACTTCCCTGGTGGCCCAGT